CGAATGTTTCTTGCATTCCACTATAGTGCACTCTAGTTGTGTGACCTCTGTAAAAATGCTTTTCATACTATAATGTACAAATGTATATSATCATTATCTTTTATTGCTGTCGTTACACATGTATCACATGGATGGCGTTAGTCAGTTCATGTCTGGATGGTCAGATCCCACGATATGGAAGGCGCACTATACTAAGGTTTGCTCCAGTTTTAATGATTCCGTTGCCAAACCCTATTTTGCCGGTATGATTAGCTGGCAAAMGAAAACCAAATGCACGGATTTTGCTCGCTAGAAAACAAACGGAATTCACATTCCATACAATCTTTGTTGTCACTTAGTATTAAAGCTAAAAAGTCTGTTGGATAGGTCAAGTACGATCTCAACTTTTGAACCATTTTTTCGTGGCCTTTCGCTTTCTGGCATTTCAAGAATTCTATCTTACGCTCCACATGCAATCCGTAGAGTACTGCCTATTCTTCTAATCAAGATCTAAAAGAAAAGTATCGAAAAACTATAAATTAACAACACTTAGTTCTTACAATTTTATTKATRYTTTTTTTCTTACTTGAAGTTAGTGATATGCATGATGGAGAGTACGTCRGAAAGGCAGCGGTAGCTAAAGATGGCGACCGGCAAAAGCAATTTCTTATCGACGTAAGTCAGTAATATGCCCATCCCAGTTTTTTTTTACTAAATAATCGATTACGTTTCCTTGATTTACGAGGGTAGCTTCTTATAGCACTAAAGCTGTGGCCCTCATTCCATGAWCAAATTGGAATGTAGMGGTAAATATATTTTTCGGAAGGGGAGGGACGGAGAATGCGGAGAAAAAACCTTCAAACCACAGCAGAGAACCAACAAGGATTTTTACTCTCAGYACAACACCGAGTACAAGAATCAATCGCATTGACCCTGATTGCATTGGTGACGAGGGAGCGCTCTCAYACCAACGGTACCTCTTAGAATTTTAGTATCTTGACTAGAAACTTTTTTTTTTCAAATACAGACTCCCTTCCCCAAAAGTGTTGAGCAAGCAACAGCCAAAGACATCAAAAGTCCAAGTGATTCCAAACAAACCATCAACCCTATAGTGAAGTCATCAAGYCCCAAAAATGCCTGGGGAAATTCCTCGTATGCAGAACTTATTACCCGAGCCATAATGTCCTCTCCTAACAAGAGGATGACTCTACAGGAAATCTACGCCTGGATAAGTGATAATATCCCRTATTTTATGGACAAGAAAGATGKTYCAASCACAACTGGATGGAAGGTAGGTCAAATGTTCAGGTTCGATAGATTCGGTTACGCCTCGTGTTTTTATACCTCATAAATTCATCCTGCTGGTTTATTGCACAGTACTTACTACCGTTGTCGTTTGAAGTACGACCCGCGAAGTTGAAGTCTCGTTCGTCGAAAAATATTTCAAACGACCGTCAATCGAAAAACTGAAAAAAAAAAAAAAAAAAAGAAAAAAAAACAAAACAACAACAACAAACAATATGTTGAGTGAGAGTTTGGACAAATTTAATATTTTAGAGGTCGGATTTGAGGTCCAAAATCTTTAATTCAGTCCAACATCTTCCTCAGTCAATATATTATTATATATTATATAATKAACGATCGTTGAAATGCTTGGCGTCGGCGAACGAAACCGATCAAACTTCGYGAGTCCCACTTCAATGTCAATGGTAGAAAACTCAAAAGAGCTTCTACTTTCTCAACAGAATTCAGTCCGCCACACTCTTTCTATCAGAAAACGCTTTGTACGTATTCGCAACACCGAATATGGTACTTTCAACTACAAGAGTTACTGGACGATMGACCCAAACGAAGAAACAAGAAAGCATTCCAGAGGTCGGAGTTCCGCGGGAAGTCCTTCTGTGAACTCCAATAACATTCGTGATCCACAAACAAGTGACACAAGAATAGCTATAATGAGAAACGGATTGATATATCAGAGGCCAAAAATAGAATTACCAGGGTCTTGTTGTCCGTATTGTGAAGGGCATAGCAGATTGAGTGTCGCGTTACAATACCAACATGGTCTTAGTTACTATAGTTACCAATTTTAATAAGGCCAAGAGCCTCTTTATAGTTTTCTTAGTTTCTGAAAAGGAAAAGCATTTTTATCCGAGTCGTTTTGCAACTGGATTTTGTAATTATCAACTAATTAGAAATAGCACATTRTTTCAAAATAAACCGGCAAAGATAYATAATGCAAAACGAACCAATTTGTGKGAAKGAAACGATGTAATTGGTTTTGGTCGATGTATGTACTAATGATTAAATGCTTTTTTCCTGATTGGTAACTGACTCCATAATGTGATTGGCAAACCTTGCTATGACACTCTATTAAGAAATCTTTGCCGGTAATAATATTAAAGATTGGAACTGTTTTAAATTACGTTGCTTAAGATTRTATAGCCTTTAGTAAAAATAYACAGGTGATTGTAGAAAATCTCGCTCGCTGATTGGTCGAGAAACTCACACTATCACACGATAATCACCTCCAGCGATAATCCAAAATGGCGGCCAGCCGCTTTGTTGCCGACACCGGAAAAAACTGCCTTTTACCTTCTTGTTTTTCGTTTTTTAAAAGAATCACCTGTGTACCAAAACAATTATTTGCCTCAGGCTCAGTGATTATTGGGGAATATTTACCTCGCTGCTCGAAGACTCGCGTCTCGGTAAATATTCCCCGATATTCACTTCGCTTTCGGCGAATAATTGTTAATTAATATTTCTAACCTTACTGCGGGTTTCCATATTTTGCGAACTCAGACCTTTCAACGACTTGTTGTGAAATTGTTTTATTGAAAAGATTCATCATTAGTCTCGTTTGTTATATAGGGACTTTAAGATTCGCAAAATCTGCGACGGCGACGTCTACAGGAAGTGTAAAATACTGCTCTTTGGGTTTCGATTCCGTTTAAAGTTCGTCTTCCCTGTCGATGAGTTGACTTTATTGATGAATTTCTTAAATGAAATATCCAATGAACAAAACCCCAGAGAGAAATTATTTATATTTCGGTTGACGTCGCCGTCGTAGATTTTGCAAATCTTAATAAAGTCCCTATCATCCAACATGGCCGACGTGTCTTTTGTTGTTGTTGTTTCATTCTCTTGGGAATGATTGAAAACCAGTTAGATAATAGAACCAGTTCAAACGTAAACCAATCAGAAACCTAGACTGCACGAGAATGGCAATTTCATCCTTGCGTTAAATGTCAACAACGTCATTTTTGATCATCGTCATTTTCTCGTGGAAACCGTTGAAAGGCTAATTGTTTTCTCTTGCTTTTTGATTGGCTCTACTTCCCAAACTTGGAATGTATTGTTTTCATTTTACAATTCGATTGGTTTTTGCTGTCTAAGTGGCCCCAGTTATAGTAGTCGCACTGTAATTCTGTATAAATATCATATAATCRAACGAATTGTATGCACCTTATGTTTACTTCATTATAGTATATGTAATAAAAAAAATTAAAAATTGTGTAATAGAGTCCTAGGACATTATGCTAGAAAAATTATTAAAATAATATCATTTATCATATAGTAAATGAAGTAGCTCTTTTAACAGCATGAAGTGAGGAGTGATGTTTCGGATACGAGTTGCTGTATTCTATTGGGGTTTCAGAATCCGAGTGGAATTTCAAATGCCAACGAGGCGTAGGAGAGGCATTTGAAATTCCACGAGGATTTTGAAACCYCAATAGAATACAGTGACGAGCATTTGACACGACATCTTATACTTTTTTTGTTATGTTTGTTTTTATTTCAAAAGTGAAACTGCGTGGTTCTTGTATAAATTTTCATCTTTATAGTAGCTACTTATTGATGAAAATTTTCTTGTCTGAAGTTCACATTTAGGAGTATATGGCTCGTTATACGTAAACTTCTGGCCGAGGTACATGAATGTATCCGCATTGGTCCTGGTCGAATCMAAAGTCTTCTCGGCCTTTTATATGGCTTAGTTGCCCGAGCCACGTTGTAAAGTATTCGAAAATACTAACGCCCTTAGAATGGATGTTCCCCCCATATGTGTTGCCAACAAATGGTTGAGCAATGAATATTTAGTTCCAACAYCAAAACGATGCRTATCCGTTTTCATTTGGCTCCACTTTGGACAGCGTTTTCAAATTGATGAGTTTTCGATGAATRCGCTCATCGTTTTCGAGCGTTTTAGTGTGGAAGGCCAAAATGCATCGAAATGTCYGCGTTTTCAAACGAAAACGCATTAGTGTGGACGGGGTCTTAGCCACCTTTCCGATCCGTTGTTGCATTAACAATATGGCCCCTCCATTGTTTTAATTCCATTCTGTTTATTGTAGGTGCTACGCTTCTCCGAKGCTTTTGCGTAATCTCCCCCCTCCCCTCCCCTCCACCGTCAAGCCTAGCCTCATTTTTTTAATGACTACCCCCTTCTCCCCTCAAATCTCACCGCCCTTACTTTTCCGGGTTGAAAAAATAACGCAGTCCCTAAATTTTTCATTCAAACTATGCACAAATGATTTACAATCTTTGCACTGAAGTAAAGTCCAGTAAGGATAAAGGCAAAGTCATCAAATCACTGTGAATCTATTTGCCTACAAATTGTCTATATCTGTACCCCTAAAGTTGGTTTCAAATKACAGCAGCAAGTTAATATAAGCTTTACCGCTTTCCGGGGGGATCTGCTGTTCATTTGGCTCCACTTTGGACAGCGTTTTCAAATCCATGCGTTTTCGATGAATRCGCTGTTCATGCCGCGAGTGAAAAAAATATTTATGATGAAACATCTATATATAAAAAAAGTTAATTAACAACGAAACAAAAAACAATCTTAAGAATGAGTTAAATGATTGGAGATACACACCAAACGCATAATAAATCCTTGTCATGACGTCATCTTAATCGCCTTACGTCACCAATTAACATTATCGTATGGGACATCCAATCCAAACGTAGATAGTTGTTGCTCGAGATGAAAAACATGGATTACTTTTGAAGGTAATTAAGAGGAAAACACCTTTATTTGATGTCATTAGGTGATGTAATTTGTTTGTACATAGCATTATTTCTTACACCAAAGGATGATGGAGACCTATATAAAGAGCAGCGTTGTCCCACATCAAAGCCATACTCTACACCAGCTTGATTGATTGATGACAGAGTAGCGCTTGAAGATTGAAYGATATGAACAGTAACCAAGAACTAGCACACGAAGAACTGAGTAGCAATTACAACAGTACTGTCTCTTCGCCAAGTAAGCAAAATATTACCCACATCTCTTCAGTTGAATTCAACAAAGACAGATTCAATCAGAACRAGTTTTTTATTTTTATTTTTACTTAACCACATTTTTGTTCTAATCGTGAACTCCAGTAATCAATAAGGATCTGACAGAGGGAAAACACACATCAATTGGTACATGGTTAGAGAGYTTTTCGCTATTTTTTTCTCTTGATWTTTGGCTACATTTATTTGGGCAAACTTAATTATTTTGCCCATTYATGTTTTTGTTTTACCTTTCTTGTACAAATTCGTTATCTAAGTTCCATAATTTGTGTAAAAATAGTCCAAGTGTGCTAAGTATTTTGTCTTTGGCAAGATATACAATAGCAGCAAATTTTATCTCGCACCAAGATTTCATCATAGACTAAGGTCAACCTGTTATGTGATAAAAAAAGATTAACCTTTAAATAACGTACCAGTTACATTGTTGTGAACGAGGGTTGTTGTTGTTTCAGAGTACATGACACCGTCAGTGATTAAGATGGTCAAGCA